AAAGCACTCGGAAGGGCGGCGGAGATCGGGTGGAGTGGAATGGTGCGTTTGAACATGGCGTTGCTCATTGGAATCCGAGACAAGCATGTTGCAGATTGCACAAGACACCGGAGAAGGAGTCGCCATAATGGCTGCACGCAAAGAAAAGAAAGGCAAGGTGAGATGGTTCACGCATCAATAAATGGCAGCGCATGCGAGGAATGAGGAAGGGTGGGGACTCACCGTTGAGGAGAAGGAAAATGCAACGGAAATTGTAACGGAAGAACGAATCTCAACGGTCAAACCATAAGGGATGACACTTGGTACGTGACCGAAGTTGTCTCGATGAACAGGTGAAAAAGTGTCTCCGTTGCGGAGCCGGCCGTATGACAAATTATTGACTTTATTACCATCTGTAACTCCCCGCCCCTTTTCCCTTAGAAAACGGCTTGGCCTTGGTGCTGCCGGCTCTCTGGCTTTGAACTGCTCTCTCTCTCTCTCTCTCTCTCCCTCTCCCTCTCTCTCTCTCTCTCCCTCGCTCTCTCTCTCTCCCTCGCTCTCTCTCTCTCTCTCTCTCTCTCTCTCTCTCTCTCTCTCTCTCTCTCTCTCTCTCTCTCTCTCTCTCTCTCTCTCTCTCTCGCTGTCGTTTTTCCTTTTGTCTTGTCGAGGTTCTGTCGGCGTCGGCGTCGTAAACGGCAGCCCGCCCAGCTTGTCCCGGCACACGCCAGGCGCGCCTGCATTCGCCAACCCTCTTTTGCAGCCCAGACGATAGGTTTGTTTTGGCCGCTTGCCATCATTTCCCCGTCTTTCAGCAGTAACCCGAGCCAGCCGCGAACAGATGAAACTGCACACACACACACACATACACACTCAGCATGCGTTGTTTGGTGCCAAAGCTGCCGTGAACGGCAGCCACGGCGCCGAAGACACAGCCCTTGAGCGCGTTGGGCATAGAGGCTGGCATTACGATTGGCTTGATTATACGTTGATGCGTCCCCCCCTTGCTCCAACATCTGCGCGTTGGCCCCGAGGCGCTCCGGTGTGCGAGTGGTCGTCAGGTTGTTGGTCAACTTGATTTTTCTCTTTTTTCTCAAAGTGGCCCCTGGCACCGGGTCCATGATCATCACCTTGACGCCTCTTCACCGCCCCTGGCTTTCGTTTGGCATCGTCTGTTCTGGATCAAATCACACCACACGCGACAAGCGGCTAGTCCAATCAGAGCCAGGTCCATCCTTGGTCTTGCTCGCCGTTTCTTTCATCGCACATTTCAATGAAAAGCCTTGACACCCGCCCACCCACCATCAGATCAGATCATTCAGAAGCCCCTCGTGTCTTCTCTTTCCCCTACTTTATCGCGCCAACCGCATTGTCATACTCAACACCTCCCGACTACTTGGCGCCCATCTCACTGCTGGCTTTACATGATTTGATGCTTAGGTCTGCGGCATCAGCACCTCCAGAACGAGTGACCTGAGCGTAGCGTGGCAGATTGGGACCCGCACCTTGCTTAAGGCGGGACGCACCCCACACCCTCCACCATGTCGCGCGACGGTGGCTCCGTCATGATGCTGGGCCCCAATTTTCGGGTCGGCAAGAAAATTGGCTCGGGCAACTTTGGAGAGCTTCGACTTGGCAAAAACCTTTACACCAACGAAGATGTGGCCATCAAACTTGAACCTGCCAACACCCGTGCGCCGCAGCTATACCTCGAGTACCGCTTTTACCAGCTCTTGGGCCATAGCGTAGGCGTGCCCAAGTGCTACTATTTTGGCTCTTGCGGCAAATACAATGGCCTTGTCCTCGAGCTCCTGGGCCCCAGTCTGGAAGACCTCTTTGACATGTGTGGCCGACGTTTCAGCCTCAAAACCGTGTGCATGTGTGCCATCCAGCTCATCACGCGCCTAGAATACGTGCACTCCAAACACATTGTGTACCGTGACATCAAGCCTGAAAACTTTCTTGTTGGCCGCCGCTCCCTGCATGGTGACTCGACCATCCACATTATCGACTTTGGCCTCTCCAAGGAGTACATTGACCCCGAAACAAACAAACATATCCCATATCGCGAGCGCAAAAGCCTCACCGGCACCGCCCGCTATATGAGCATCAACACCCACCTTGGCAAGGAGCAGAGCCGTCGCGATGACCTCGAAGCCTGCGGCCACATGCTCATCTACTTTCTCCGCGGCAGGTGAGAAGCGCGAGGGCCCGCGCACTGCTTTGTTTTTTAGCCTGACCAATGTACACGCATGCCTTGTGCCAGTTGCCATGTTCCCTGCGCGGTTTTCTTTTTTTCCACTTTGACGCTGCTCGTATACATTCCTATCCGTCCATACTCACCTGACTTTGACCTGACTTTTCCCGGTTAGTTTGCCGTGGCAAGGCCTCAAGGCTGACAACCTCAAGCAACGGTACCAAATGATTGGTGACACCAAGATTCAAACACCCATTGACGTTCTTTGCAAAGGCTTCCCCACCGAAGTGGCCACCTACTTGCGCTACTGCCGCTCCCTTGACTTTTACGAGGAGCCCGACTATCCCTACCTGCGCCAACTCTGGTGGGACATTTTCAAGCGCGAGCAATTCAAGGATGATGGTATCTATGACTGGACCAAGCGCGCGCCCTCAACCAAATCCAAGCCTCTTCTTGATGCCGTGCCGGTAAGATCTCTTGCTGACACACCGCGGAAAGGCAAACTTGGAGCCAGGCTCACGGCCACGCCTGTAATTCACCGAGCCCTGACCCACGTGTCGTGTTCTGCTTCTCGTCATCAATCATAGCAGGATGGCCTCAACTCGGGGAGCACGCCAGCTCGCCCACGCGACACCCAGGGCACTGGTGCTCCGACCAAACAACCTGCTCGGACAGATCCTGAACCCAAAGGCTGCTTCTGCTTTGGCAAGAAGTCGGGAAGATGATTGCGCTGTGTGGTCATCACACCTCTTTTTGAGACGCGAGCTTCTTTGTTTGTTTGTCTTATCCCTGCCCAATCATATTTGATTGGCGCTTGCCCTGTGAACACCCTTCCGCTAAAGGCCAAGTGCATGAAAAAGGACGCGTGCCCTTTTTCATGGCGCTTGGCCCCTGCCATGAGGCTGTTTTGGTGAGAAGCTTGGCAGGGGAGTCAGCGCGCATCCTCATTCTCATTTCGTGTGGTTGTTTTTCTTTGTTGGGTGGGATGTGGCCTTGGCCACGGCCGCAAGGTTTTCTTGCTTATTGTTGTAGTTTCGAGTCCCAACGCATGCTGCTTTCGTGCCTGCCCTCTTTTTCCGCTTGTAGTTGCCGTCCTTTGCTGTGACGTGGTTGTTGTGAACACGGTGCCTTCTCGTTCCATTTCTATGCCATCTTGGCCCTTGTTTCGTAGCTTGAATCGGTTGCACCGATCTCCCGTGTCCGTTGTGTTCATGTGCCGTGTGCCTCTACTTCTGATGGTGTCCGTATCTTGTCATCGCTGTACTCTTTGGCCCTTTTGCCCTTGCCGGCCCTGCTTAACGCAGGCGACGTGGTCATGCTTGGAGCGGTTCACTCTCGCTGTGTGCTACTGTCCCTACCTGGCCTGTGCCAAGGTTGCTCGGCGGTTTTGCAACCACCATCCTAGCAAAAGCAAGTCTTTGCGCCGATAGACACAGCTTGGTACCTGCGCCTATTCCGAGGATCTCCTCTTTATCTTTCTAAATCTAGAGCTTGAAACATTCCATTTTTCTCCTGCCGTGTATGTCAGTCGAGCTGCTTTGTGCCTCGTAAGGTGATGGGCAAACCTGTCCCTTGCAAAGAGGCAGAAAGGGGCAAAGCCTCGATGGCGCAATGATTGGTACAAACACTGCAATCCTTATGCACAGCTTCGCTGAGCCTTGTTCATCAAACGCGTACACACATGCTTTCAAATCGCCAAGACCAACTTGAAAAATCGCTTCGGTCTGGCATTTTTCTTCTGCCTATCCCGCCAAGAAGACGTAAAACGGATGCTTTCTTCCCGGTGTGGACTCAAGTTTTCAGATATTAAAACATGACCGGCACTAGCCAAATGCAAATTGCAATCCTCGCGAGCGGAGTTGTTCGGCACAACTGCCAAGCATGAAACCGCTCTTGAGGCGGTTGTGGATCCGCTTGGGGCACGACTGGGAACTACAATGCAAAGAGACTCAACACTCTCCAAGAGAATATGCGTCAAGATACCATTACCTCCGAGATTCAAGGCAAGCTCACCAGCAATGCCTTTTTCAAGAGATAACACTCCCCCCACCCGCCCCCACCGATGTTGTTCGGCTAGGGTTAGGGTTGGTCAGAGTAAGTACATGTGTGTGTGAAGGTCGGCCGGGGTCCCCCCTTCACACACCATGTACCACTATTCTGGTCGACATCGCTTCAGAGCTGAGAGAGTTGGCAAACCCAAGTGCGGCTGCCGACAGAATGATGATCACCTGTTTATCGCCTATCAAGGGGACCTCAGACGATCGAGGTGCACAATCATCGTTGGCGTTGGCGTGTTCATCCAAACAACAGCGGAATCAGTACGTTTTTATTTTTTTGCATCAAATGTGTGTTTGAACCACAAACCCATAAGAAAAATTTCGCTTTGAGAGATTTTTCACAAAAGGTTTTCATCTGACATCTTGGGCGTATTCACGTGCAAAAGTTGTTTCGCGGATTGATCGCGATCATGTCGTCCTCGCACAACTGCTCGTGGTTGAACATGCTTGGCGTGGCCATTGTCGCGGGCCTTTTGAGCATTGCCAGTGGCGGATGCGCCATGCTGGGGAGCTTACTCGATAGCAGTTGCTGGGCGTCCTGACTGTTGTTCAAGGATGTAAGAGCATTCATCACGTCGGGGTCTTGTAAGATCTGTGTGCCGTTTGGGTCGAACGTATGAGTTTCCAACTGCCGTGCATAAACTCGCAAGATGGCTTGAATCACATTCATTTCCAGCAGATCCGTCCAGCCGGCGTTGGGCTTTTTTATCATGGGAAGCATGGCGCCAATGAGTCGAGCTTCTGCAGCAACACGAATCTCGGTGGCTCTGGCACGCTCTGCCTCTGCAGCCACAATCGCCTCGTTGTTTCTGGCACGCTCTGCCTCTGCAGCCACAATCGTCTCGTTGTTTCTGGCACGCTCTGCCTCTGTGGCCATTATTCTTTCCAGCTTGCCTTGCCTCTGGAGCAACACTCGCACTTCGGAGTTGAGCAGTGTGTGAACCAGGGGGGGGGACCCCCGGTTGGGGTGGTGGGGGCCCGGGGGGCCCCCCGTAAAAATCTCCGCGAAGAACTCCCTACCACGGTACCTCGCCGAACATTTCCCTGCGAAGATTTCCCTACCACGCAGCGCAGCGCAGATAGTGCAGGGCAACGTCCGACGCAAAGTCTTTGTGAGAAAAACTTTTTCTTTTTTGTCTTCACTCTTATGTATTATATATTATTTTTCGCGAAAGAATAAGATAATAATAACAAAGGGTAATGACAAAAAAAGAAAAAGTTTTTCTCACAAAGACTTTGCGTCGGCCTCCCCCCTGCACTCTCGGGCCACACTCGGGCGCGCACTCTCGGGCCACACTCGGGCGCGCACTCACGGGGGCGGAGCGTCGCCCGCAGACACGTATACTCGCAAATGAGCGGAGCTCATAATATATTAGCGATACATATACACTAAATTGATGCTGATGAGTAATAATGACCACACAAGCAAATAGCCTAGCAAATAAGCTACAGGCACAACCCTCGGCGCACGCGCGCGCACACACAACATCAACATACGCCCCCGCGGTGACCGGGATCGGCCGCAACGGCGTCCATCAACTTGATTTGTTGGAGTTGCCGAAGGATCCAGCCACAGGCTCCCGATACGCGCTCACGTTGATTGACCTTGGAAGTCGCGCAGTAGCGGCCGCACCACTCAAGGATAAGACCGCATCAGCTGTTCTAGAGGCAGTGAAACACATATACGCACACAATGAAGACGGGATCAAGCAACCAAAGCGCGTTGAGATTGATGGTGGAGGTGAATTCTCGGCACTAAAGAATTACCTTGAGGGCAAGAAGGTCACGGTCCGCGTCGCCCGCTCGGGGCGCCACAGTCAACAACGCGCAGTTGAAAATCTCAACAAGGTCCTCGCGCGCAAAATCATCACGCGCCAACTCGACGAGGAGCTCCTAACAGGCGCCGATGCACTCCACTGGGAAAGTGATCTCCCCCGCTTCATCAAGGAAATAAACGACAAATGGAAGCGCAGTGACGAGGAGTTGAAAGCATTGGTCAAACAGTCCGAGAACGCACCATACATAGACTTACAAGACCCGAGTTTCAAACCGCTCGAGGAAGGCACGCTTGTGCGCGTCGCCCTCGACCACCCTCAAGACTTACGCGGAAAGCGACTGCCAACCGGCAACACCGCGAGCGGATTTCGCACGGGCGACATTCGGTGGGACCCCATCGCGCGACGCGTGCAGGCGCTCATCATCAAGCCTGGCCAAAGCACGCGCTACATGATTGAGGGTATCGCAAACGCGAGCTACGCACGCTGGCAGCTCCAGCTGGTGAGCGTCGACGCCGATGGCGAGCCCGCGGAAGAATATGCGGACGGCCACGAGGTCGTGCGTGGTAACCCGGAAACGTTCATTCCACTCAAACTTCATGGTCGCCGCGGAGGCCGAGGCAAGCCCATCGAATACCAGGTCGAGTGGCGCGGCTACAAAAAGCCAGAAGACTTCACGTGGGAGCGTGCCACGGAACTCAAAAAATCAACTGTCGGCTGGCAACTAATACAGAAGTGGCTGCGGTCGAGCAAATCACACCCCACCGGTGCCGCCGCCAGTGCCACCGCCAGTGCCGCTACCAGTGCGCCCGAGTAGGAACGAGATCCGAGATCGGCTACTGGCTTTGCGCTCGGAGCTCTGCGGTGGATGACTTGTCATGCGAGCTTGAGCCGGCTTGTGAGAACAACTAACACAACGTGGGCGCTCCATTACAGCCGGCGAGCAAGCAGCTTCAAACACGCTCTGGCACGCGCCACAAACGTGCATCGCACGTAATTTGCTGTGGGTGTAGCACGCATACCAGGGCTTTCGCACACATGCGGTGCATCCGTCGATGCAACACACACGCTCGTCTGGGGCGGGCACATTTTTGTGCTCAAAACACTTGGAATAAGCGCGCTCGACACCTTCGACAACAAAGGTGCCCGTCGGCAGGTTGCACACACGGCAAGACATAGCACACAATGTGAGAAGAGATAATGAAGCTTCGACCTTTCTTCAAATGAAGTATGATATGCTGACATAATATTTTTTTAAAAAGTTTTGACAGCATGTATACCCAAGTCAATTAAAGGAGTGCACACCAAGTGTATCCCTCCCCCCTCACGACCTCCGAGTGTAAGAGCAACCATGGCTGCCATCATCGAATTTCCTCACGAAAATGATCCGCTATTCCGCCCCAAGGCAACGGACAGCGAAAAAATCGAGAAGAAGCGCTCTGCATCGGCCACGGCGCTCGATCTCTTCGCTCAAAAAGTGCGCGCTGCGAAAAAGAGACTGGACAAAATGCCGCTCATGAACGACGGCACCCCTGTTGAAGAGGAAAAATATAACGTGCAAAAATCCCAGCTGGAAAAACACCGCGAAGCATACGAAAGAGAGCTTTATAAGCGCAGAAAGTTCTTGGCCCAGGTTGAGCCCAAAATTGCTCCGCTTCAAAATGGTGATATACCTCAAATTCAGCCGCCACGCATGTTGGAGCCAAGCTCTGCGCTGCGTAAGTGGCGATCCAAAGATGGAAAAAAAGCCGACAGGATGGTCAATGAGCTGTTCATCGCTGCGCAACGCGAAGCCGAAGGTAAAGGTCTCACACCTGAGGGCGTGCGCGAGTATGCGGTGAACGAAGTAATCTCACGCATGAACCAGTCGTTCGTTCATATCACGGAGGAGAACCCGTGCATCTGGTACGTTACGACAACGGTCGACCGCATCACAAACATTACAACGACAAAAACGATGACAATGGCCCTTCAAAACGAGAAAGGTTTGCTTGGTCTCGTGGGGCGGGTGCGTACTCTCACCAAATATGCAAAAAGCGACATGTCGACAAGCGAAGTAGAATCGTTCCTACACAAAAGTTGGTTCTCTATTTGGATCGACAGTCTCGACCGACACCAATACCCATGTCTGACTTTTACTCCACCTACTGGTGTGTACGTAGGCGAAGATGGTTTTATCCACCATGAGACACCAGACACAACGGATATGTTTAACCTTTATACTGGAGTTGCCATTGCACCAGAAGAGACTGGCCCAGCGAATAAGGACTGGGCATCGCATCCTATTGTAAAGGATTTCTTGAACGCATACCATGACGCATATTCACCAACCTCCCCTGAGGTACGCGAATGGTATCTCAACTATATCGCACATAATGTACAAAAGCCAGGTGTGCTTCCCAAGTGCGGCGCACACGTAGAAGGAGATCAGGGAACCATGAAAGGCTTTATGGTCGATATTCCATCTAGCATTCTCGGCGCAAATTACAAGCACCACGCACGGAACCTCGAAAGTCTCACTGGACGCTTCGCGAATACTTACGGTAAACTCATAGTATTTGCTGACGAAATCGCATTTAGCGGTGACTATAAAACACAAGATGTCTTGAAAAAGATGATCACAGAAAGCGCAATCACAGTCGAGCAAAAGTATATGAACCCGTTTCTTTGCGAGAACATGGCCCATTTCTACAGTGCCTCAAATAATAAAAATGCGCTGGACATCGAGGCAAGCAATCGTCGTTTCGTCCTCCTGTCCACGCGATATAATCATGGACGCAAGATGGACCTAAAGCGCTTCTACACACCAGAAGCGCGCCTCGCACTCGCGGGATATTTCTATCGACGCGATATCAGCGACTATGAACCCAGCGACTTACCAGAAGGTGGTACAATCGAGGCTGGCGCGAAGGTTCGCTCCCTGCGTGGTTTTCAAAGGTGGATTACCGACTACCTACAAGGCCCAACTGCGCCATTTGGCACGTACGTGCCAAAGCAAACGATTTACGAAGCGTATAAATCGGCAACACCACGTGCAAATATCACAAGCGTGTTCTGGAAGGATATGCATCAATTATTTGGCGACAAGTTATTGGAGAGGCGAGCTGGTAGCGGTGGGAGCGAAGGGAAGTATGTGCGCCTACCCTCTCTCAAAGAAGCTCGCAATTGTGTTTGCGAAATGCTCCACATACATCCTAGCAATTTGGTGGAAGCCGCCGATAAACACAAACCGGTTGCAAGCCTTCTGGATCTTAGGGAAGAAGAGGAGCATTACGCGGCGCAGGCCGCTCAACAAGAAGAAGAGGAGCATTACGCGGCGCAGGCCGCTCAACAAGAAGAAGAGGAGCATTACGCGGCGCAGGCCGCTCAACAACAAGAAGAGGAGCATTGCGCGGCGCAGGCCGCTCAACAACAAGAAAGGATGCAGAGGTTGCATTGGCTGAATCTCAGTTGACTGACATCTTGGCGAACATGAACGCGGCGAAGAGCGCGCATGACAACGACATGTACGACAGTGACAACGAGAATGATCCCGACATCGATCCGACCCTCATCGACTGCATGAACGACGCATTTGCACATATTGTTACGAAGTAACGACGAGCACGAGCACGAGCATCACCCCGCGCGGGCAACAAAATTTTTGGAAAGTGATGGGCAAGTGTATGGGTAGTGCATAGGTCATTTAAAAAAATGCAAAAATACTTTATAACTCTCACATAGAACTCATCGTTTCCGCAACTGTAACAAGCGACCATGCGGGTTAAAATGGTCCACGCGCGCGTCCGAGACTGGATGATCGTGCGAGCGCGCCGAGAGACACCGGGCGAGGTGCTCAGCACGCACAATTTGGCCATTGCCGCTCAGCGCTTGCTGGACAGCCTAAATAGACGTACGGGAAGGGTTTATGAGCTCCAGGTTAATCTCAGATTAAACGGATTAGGTTGGCGAACACCTACCTCGGGTTTTATTCGTGACCCGGCAAAGCTCGAGACACTCAAGTTGGAGGAGGGCGGAACTGATTACGAACAGCTCGAATACGAAGATGACAATGAGGAGCATCTGGTGTTCGAACAGGCCGATCTCTTGCTCCGGGTCGTCCACCCACGCGAAGGCGGGTGCGTTGGAGAAAATAATCGCCTGAACGACTGCTTGAGCTGGGCACTGACCAAGGCATTCGCCGGGCACGTCCCGCAAATCCACAACCTAACGTTGGAGATGAAACGTGAGTTGGGCGGAGACACGCTCGCGCACAACTCGGTGTTAAAAACATGGTGTGGCTTGCCATACAACGCTCGCGTACCGGCATCGATGATTCCGCGCGTGGAGGAGGCCTTCGCACCGTCAACGGCCATATGCCTTGTAGGAAACGAGGGTGAAACGTACCACTCACCGCGTTTGCCAACCGCAACGCGCGTGATATATTTACGCCTGAAACGCAACAAAAATGGTGAGGGCCATTATGTGGTGGCCACTCAACCAGGACGAACGACAACACCTCTTCGGGTGGATCCGGGTGGCAAACCAAAGCAACGCGCGGCGTACTTGCGGCGCGAGGCAGGCGGCGTTGTGACGTGGGACTTGTACACATACGAAAGCCTGCGCAACGGTGACGAGCCCCACGCGACGGCGAGCACTGAACAGCTTCACGAGTGGTTGCAACGCCCAACCGTTTGTCCCTACAACATCACGCCAATGACTGCGACAACCGTGGACGAACTGCGGGCAAACATGGACACGATACGAGAATATGAAGAATCCTGCCCCACCTCGCTCGGCTACGACCTTCGCAAGTACCCGTCATTAAAAACGTACCTTCGCGACGTATTTCGCGGAATGAGCCGCACGGTAACGGCCTCGCCCGAGCTCGAACCAGTGGAGGTCGACTGGCTCCTCGGCTTTACATCTGTCGAGTCTGGCGCCGTCTATCGCCTACGCAGTCCATTCCGCGGCGGCGTGATGTTTTGGGAGGCGTACGAAGGTGTAGGATTTGACTACGACATCGTATCGATGTACCCATCACTTTACAAAACCAAGTGTCGCTTACCAAATTGCAAGCCAACGCCAGAGGTGCTGCCGGCCGATCACTTTGTGCGCTGCCGCACGGCCACCATGGGCTTTTACCGCTGCACAATCCGCGTGACAGGGCCGGGTGAGAGATTGTGGCGCTCCAGCAGCAGCGCTCGCGAAAGCATTTACACGCACACTGACATTATGACGGCGAAAATGTTGGGCGAACTCGTTGACCCGACCACTGGCGACAAGGGCTCGTGCACTATCACGCTGCACAATGGCGGTCAAACAAACGCCCTCATCTACCGCGGCGCGTTCGTGACATTTGAGCAGGCCTTCGGAGGTTACATGAACGCATTCTGGCCGTTAAAGTTGCTTGGCAATCCGCTCGGTAAGATTGCACTCAACCGACTGTGGGGCATGCAAGGCCAAACGCGCAAAAAGAAGAAGGTGTTGGACGGCGATGACCGCATCAGTCAAGACGAACTTGGCGGCGACGTCATCGCGTTTCACTGCGAGGGTGAAAAAGAGCTGTACACGGTTCGCGGTCGCGGTGTCGACGCGTTCATGGGCGACTACCCGCGGTGGCCGGCGTTCATCACTGCTCTGGCTCGCCAGCGACTCATGAAGCTCCTGACGGACAACGGCAAAGACGCATCGTACCTGGCCACGATCAAGCGCATCAACACGGATGGGTGGGTAAGCTCGGTTGAGCTGCCAGAGCGACTGCAGTCACAAATTGGCATCAACCCCGGCCAGATCAAGCACGTCCGCCACTACGACCACGACGGCGGCGAGCTCACGTGCACGACGATCAATAAACTGCGCAAGCCGAGCTGGAACTAAAGCTGAATCTATTTTTGGCGACTTGCTTGCAAGCGAATTGTTGCATCCGAAAACACCGTCACTGCGTTCGCACGCTTGTGCCCTCGTTTCAGTTCTCATATTCTGGGCACAAGGTAAAAACGCAAAACCGCTTGTGCCCTAGGGCACAGATTACAGAATCAAGTAGGCGAACGCAGTGATTGCGCCCTGATACACGATTCTCACTGCGTTCGCATGCTTGTGCCCTGAATTTGGTTCCAGAACGAGGGCACAAGGTAAAACCGCTTGTGCCCTGGGGCACAGATTACAGAATCAAGCAGGCGAATACAGTGACCTGCTTCACGATTCTCACTGCGTTCGCACGCTAGTGCCTTCGAAGACACAAGGCGCAAATTACAGAATCAAGTAGGCGAGTCGTGTAACATAAAATGTCAGACTCACTTTGAACCTCATCTGACATCTCGTTGTCAGACTCACTTTGAACCTCATCTGACATCTCGTTGTCAGACTCACTTTGAACCTCATCTGACATCTCGTTGTCAGACTCACTTTGAACCTCATCTGACATCTCGTTGTCCAGTTCGCTAATAGTTGTCAGACTCACTTTGAACCTCATCTGACATCTCAGACTCACACCAAAAAGATGACAATGTCCTTCAGTACCTGGGGAGCAACTTCACTCGCTGAGACAAGTTTGTCAGCATTATACCACGCACCTCGTTGAGGTACTTATTTATCACATCAGCGCTCGGCTTTGTTGGTGGGGCTGGGAGGTCAATCGCGTTCTCTACAAGCACGCGCCGTTGGTTGGGCCGTGTAGCCTCGCGCTGAATGTCCGTGAGCACCGCGCGTAACTCCTCGGGTGAAGCGCTCGTGCGCACCTCCTCAAAACCCTTGAAACGCGTCGGATCGATAAACTCAAAGTCTTTCTCGTCGTCGGCATCAAACTCTTCGTCAGTTATTCCACTACCTGTGAGACGCTTCGCGTCTGCGTCTTCTGCGTCTGCGCCACTTTCGGGCTCGCTCAGAAACTGCTTCATATCGTGTGCGCCGAGTGCATCGTCGTGTGAGCCAGGTTTGCTATGCAGAGACACGACCTCGTGGCCATTTTTGTAGAGTGGAGCGAGACCACTCACGACGTCACCCTTTATGCTGTAGATGGTTCCGGGCGAGCTCTTATGCACCGGGAGCGGGCTCACCCCCACGCCCGGATTAAATACCACGGGAATGCAGTTCTCATACAGTGCTGCAGCGTGTATCGCGAGCGTACCGCCGAGACTGTGGCCAGTAAACAGGCCCGCGCCACCATTCGACCACTGAAGCTTCTTGTTCAACTTTTTAAGATGAGACACGGTGCGTCGCCACCGTGCTGTTTTTTCCAGCTGACCTACCGCAAGACGCGCGTCAGTGACCGCATCCTCACCGTTCTGACTGCCGCGGAAAGCTACGATAGGTATTTTTGCTTCAGCCCCAGGCGGTTGAACCAGCCACACGGCGATTTCAGCGTTGCTGAGTTTGGGTTGATATCCTTCTAGTGCCCGCTGGCGATACGCGTCGTCTTTATACACCGCGCTTGAGGCGAGCGCGAGGTTATTGTGCTCCGCGCGCACGGCTTTTTCAGTAGGTGCAAGATGAGATAGTGCCTTAGCCGTGGTGTGTACGTATTTTGCGCCCGGTAAGTGACTCATGATTGCGCGGCGCGACATGCTCCTCAGTGCGCGCATAGCCGTCGTGAAGCCGGGAATTTTGCCACCACTCATTTCTTGCGCTCGTCCAATGTTTTCCTGATGGTAGTGTGAGAGAGCAAGCAAATGGGCGTTTTCATAACTAAACGGCACGGCATCTGGACGCTCCAGGTAGTCTTCGCCATCGAGGACCAGGTACCTGCGCCATTTGGCGCGGGCACCACGCTGATGCGCGAAAGGTCATAGAACGACATGGCGGTGTATATTGGTTCATATCGAATCCCGCAAAAATTTTTGTCAGTATACCACTATTTTTGGTTGTCTTCCACCCGAGGTGGCAATCGCACCAAGCGCGCGATTTGCTTGTCACGGCCTTCGTAGGTACTTACCTTTGTGACATCGTGCCAGGCACGCATCCCGTCATAGCTGGTTGGGAGGCCCCACAGGACATAGTAGGCGCTATAGTTGCCGCACACGTCACTGCCACTGGCTTGGAGCCGAGTTTTGTTCCAAACGAGAGGTGAGGCGCTCAACGAGTGAAGCCATGCTCGAAAATGTGTGTGAAACGGGTGCCCCTCTTGTTGCGCGAGGATGGTGTCGTCGGCATCGGGTCCCATTCCGTATGAATCAAAGTACTCGGGCCTCCCCTGTGGTGATAGGCCCATGCCACACCAATGTGTACCGCGCTCATCGCCATCGCTGTAATTGACGATTATGCGAACACCACGCCGCCCATTGAGGCGCATCTCTCGCTTGAGCTCGTTCACATCAGGGAGCTCATCCGCGGCAAACACACCGCCGTAAAACACCTTGTTCCGTTTCAGTATGTTATCCTGCGCCTTATCGGCGAGCCATGCCGTGAGTTGACCACCAGACGACATTGATATTAGCAGTTACTCCGTAACGCTAATTGTCAGTTACTTCGTATATTAGCGAAGCTAATAGTTATAACAGACGATATGGAATTGCCAAAAAGAATGGTCAATTTTGTTACGCGTTGCGGAGCAACTTGTTACGCGTTGCGGAGCAACTTGTTACGAAGTAACAACTACCATGACTTGCTTGCGGTACCCTTTGTGGGGTCGATGTCGACGTATGAGTTGTAAATTAGCATCGTGAACAGGCGAAGCTGACCCGCGCCCTGGCCGCCGGCGAGTGTGCTGCGATCCACCGCCATATCAATCGAGAGCTGGGCACTGTCGGTATTGGGGGTGACCGCGCGCATGTCCTGGATGAAGAAGACGTGGCTCTGGAATTGATCATAACTCAACATCGGGCCCTCGCCGTACGATAAATCGTTGGCCGCCTCCTTGTAGCGGTCGTAGAGGAGCGGCATGCCCTCCTGCGAAGCATCTGTCGACTCAAAACGCTCCATGGGGAAACTGTCCATGCCCCAGCGCGCCTGTAGGCGCACAATCGTGCCGTAAGGTGCATCCTCAGCCACATCGGGCGTATCACCATGCGCGCCAAACGGGCAGGCGGCGGCGGCATAACGGCCACTAGCATATTGTGAGAGTCGGCGACCACTGTCCTGCGAAAGAGCCTCTTCTGAAAGGACTGCAAACACAATGTAGTCTGGGCGTGTGCCACTGAAAATGTTGCCGTCAGAGTGTTCGAAACGGCCGGGATTTGTAGAGGCAGGCATTATCTTACTCGCGATTACGGTGCGCATCACTGGCATTCGGATCGGCCGTTCCAATCGATCAACAAACGGTGCCAACGGCTTAACACGGCGCATCCACATGCGGGCCGAAACGAAATTTACTTGAGGGACGCCGGCGACATCGGCTGTCTGCGTACACAATGCCAGGTTAATTTGCTTGCGCCAGTTGAAGGTGAGCTGCGAGCTCGAAGGCACTAGGCTGCTGGAGGAGAATGCGAGCACATCAGGGCGAACCTTGTAAACGACTGTGCGACCTGTGGCGGCATCACAATTTGCGGCGGTCGCGGCACGTAGCTCGTGCGACGGCGATGAATACGGGCGCGCGTCATTCGGACCGCCGACACCAAAGCGCCGTGAGTGTTGACCATCTGCCGCAACGTTACCGACTGCGGCGCGGCCGCTGCTTGGTACAAAGAGGCCCTCTTCGGTACCAGGTGCCGACAAACTCACGAATGAGGAAACGAGGGAGGTGATAGCTGTGCCGCCTGGGATCTCAACGTTGACGTCAGACGGGGTGCCACCGCGAAGGCGGTACACGCTCATTTGACCTCCGTCCGCGTGGCCGCGAGGATTCTTCAAAGCCTTGCGATAGAAACTCGGGAGCGACATGACGTTCCGTTCGCCATCCGTGATGTCCTGTCCGTTGAGGCGTACTTCAACTGTTGAGAAGAGATCGTCGCCAGCATTCTCTGAGACGAGGGCGCCAAGGAAATTAGCCACTGGGTCGATGATACTGCCATCGCTCCAGCGATATTCGACCTCAACCTCTAGCCATGACTGAGACAAATCGTACGCGGCGCCACCTTCTTGTGGTGGTTGGAATGACAGTACACTGTTTTGTACCTGGCCAGTACGCTCTTCAACGCGTAAATGCTATCTCGCTGGGCGCGAATGTCAGTGACTCTGCCATATTTGCTTCGCTAATTCAGTAGTCTGTTCTCTGTTACGGAGTGACGAAGTAACAGGTGTATGTCAGGCGGGACAAAAACCGTCCGCCAAAAATTAACGATCAGAGGAGCCAGGCTTGTCGACTTTAGAATGGTTTGGTGACGTTTCGACCCACATCCACACTCCACACATATGGGGTCAGTGTGGTGACGATTACGCGTTGGGTGGTGGCGAAATCAAGATAGTTACTGCCACCTGGCGCGGCCGTTGCGTCACGGAGCGTCGTGTTCATCGTGAGTGAGGATACATCGTCAGGATCTGGCGAGTACATACCCACAAGACCCGCACCCTGGAGATTCCAACAATAGATTGGGCTGTTCATCCAGGTGTGAAAGGACAATGGTGGCTGTTGCTGATTAATGCAACAGTCGACATAGCGGTCATACCAGTAAGCAAAGTGTTCACCCTGGGGCTGGTCGAGTTCTGGTTCGAGTTTGGTTGCGCCCCATTGGAGTGACATGGCGGTCGGGAGAGCAATTGGAGCGCTCACAAGTGACTGATCGGTTCGTTCATAATACTGTGCGAATGGACCGCTTCCAAATGCGGAGAGTGCTGGGTGCCCCTGGTAAGCTGAATCAGGGATAATTTGTACGCAAATGTAGCTTGGTCGCACACCGGATACCAAACCGCTTTGTGTGGTTGTTGTGTTTACTGGAGCTAGAAAGGATGTGTTGCGAACCATAACCTCCTCAAAGCGTAGGGGGCGCTCGACCAGCATCTCCGTGAACGCTTTGCGTGCGCCGTCCGCCATTTGTTTCGACGTGTAATACACGCGAGGTTGACCCCTAAAGGTTACCTGGAGAGGCCAGTTTCCTGCATGCGCCTCGTCAACCACACTGTTGCGACCAATGCTTGTGTTGAGTTCGATGGTGATGCGGAGTGGTGTATTGGGGGGTAAGTATCCTGCCGCGAAAGCTGGACCCTGAAGGCTATAGGAGACCCAATTTGGCTTTTGAGCACCCTTCATGCGTGCACGCAATGAAGCGCTCTTAAGTGGATCGGTGCAATTCGCTCCACCCTCACCCATTACGCTGGCTGCCTTGATGGTGACGCCTGCCTCAACAATGGCGGGGCGTGGGTACGCACCACCCTTCGAGAAGGTGACCATGTCGCGCGACACTTCGTTGTCATCGTCGACTAGACCGACGCGCAGGCCGCTTGTAATATAGTATGCGTTGGCCCATGCTTGCAGTGTCTTACGAATCTCGCGTGCAATGTTGTTAACTGTTGCGGTAATGCGGCCTGCACTGTAATCTGTCCAATATGATGGGGGATTCAATTGCGTGTAAGCTACTTGTGGAAAGTTAAGTTGGGGATGGGTATTTGAGACAGTGTTAAATGAATCGTTGAATGCGTTTCGAATGAGATCAAACGCCTCCACCACCATATCTTGTGTGATTGGTGTTCCATCTGGCGCCGGGAGTGATGTGGTTGGTGTTGCTTCGGATCCGATTGCTGCCTCGAGCAAAATGTTGCGCAAATCTCCAGCCGCAAAGACTTGGCGAATTGAATGACACAAGGTACCGACGGCGGCACCGTTAAAGTTGGTCGCGCTTGCGCCGATTTCCTCTGCGATTGCGTTATAAAGCTCCGCTCGTGTGGTTGGTGTGATTACCGTTCCATTGTGTGCCAACTCTGGTACAGTGGGTGGGGCAATCGATACCGCACCTCCTGTTAGCATGAGCGGTTCACCATGCTTCGTGTGTGCCATATCATCGCTACCAGTGATAGCGCGACGAATGAATGCACCGTAGGGGTAGCCATTGGTTTCGAGGTCGTCTTGGATGGGTGTCGAATTTACCTCGACTGCAATTTTACCAATCATGTTTTCGATGGGAAGCTCGGACAATGCCATGCCCATGTCGGTGATGTTTGCACCGGCGTTATCTTCGATGGTAAGAAGACCGGTGAGGCGAAATGAGTCCATTTGGATGTGGCCTGATGAGGCTGGCACTTGGAATTGGATCGAGCGTGACCCCGCAGTATAAGCACTGGCTGGGGTGACATACGCAGTGTTGACACTGTCCCACACAAATTCGCGACCCAAGGGTGGGGCGCCATGCACCGAAGTGTCAATCGAGAGGTCAATGTCGGCCATGTTTGCTCGTGAGTAGTCAATTCTTGTTGCGGAGCAACGTGTCACGAAGTCGTTGCGTAGTCGTTGCGTTGCAGCGTGTATGTGTGGCTCAAAAAATATCCCCGAGCTTTATTCAAAATTAGCGTACCCCTACGCCCCTAACCGTATAGCTCGCTTATTTTATCGTGCGCGCTCTTGACGTCATCGTGTGCGCGTTTGAGATCCTTGTACACGCTCTCGCCTTGCCGGACCGTGCGTGAAACTGTCTTGGCCATTTTTCCTACCTTTTTCAGGCCGCTTAGGAAGCCTGCGCCGCGCATGTGTACGGTCATCAACTCACCGCCCTCTTGTCGTTCACCATGATGCTCACGATGACTGTGGATGAACACAGCCGCCGCGTGTGCCGGATCGAGTCGCCCCATTTTGGGTCAATTCTTGTTGCGGAGCAACTATTAGCGTTCGCCAATAAACTTCGTAACTGGTATCGAAGTGCAAAAAGTTTGTGGTGGCGAATTTTAACTTCAGCTTCGCCGAACGTGTCGAAGTGCAAACACAATCAGCGCTTCGGTTGTCGTCGACTGAACCACACTGCCGTCACCGAGCGAGATTTCAATTTCAACCGATGAGAAGTTGCTCGATGCGAGCGGTCGCCACTGAACGACTGCGCTGCTTTCTTCGAATGCGTGCGTTGTACCGTTCTGATTCAACAACACGCGGACAAGATTTGTATCCTCTTGGTTTACTACGACCGTGGGTTTGCATAGGCTGCTATAGACAAATACGTCATCGTTTGTAAGAGGCGCATCCGAGCCGTAGCGTGCTTGAACTAGTGCCATTTCCCAGTCACCTGTCTCATCGTCTAGAGAGATTTGTCGCCCGAGCTCGCATACAAAGTAGTTGTTTCCTGAGCGTTTATGTACGCCATCGCCTGCCGAGGAGAGTGTGAGGAATTGGTAGCCCTGTGCACCGTGCGACATGACGACTGTTTATTATTGTAGAATATTTTTCAGGGCGTGGAAATGATGGCCCAGGTGGCGGCGCATGCGGTGCGCGACCCGGAGTGCATGGGATTTGCCGTGGCGGAGGAGTGCGTCTTCAACCTCACCGAGCGCAACCTCGCGCGGGTCTTCCGGACCACCTGATTGGATGAGAAGACCGTGGCCGGTTTGCGTGAGGCCTTGCGCTTCATACTCAGGAGTGAACTTGAAACTTTTTCCACTCTTTTCTAGAATGCCTGCCTTCACAAATTTGTTTAAAACACTTTCAGTAAATGGTGGGACTTTATGGTCATTACTCGTCTTACTAAACGTTGCGATTGTATGTAGTGCTCGTGCTGCACTCTTTTTGTTTGCTTCACTTGAAAGTAATTGTTCAACCAGCACAGGTTGAACACGGGAGTTTGTGAGCGTGTTGTATACGTCATTGTTTACACCTACGCGTTGTGCTGCACTGGAACTACCACCTAGTGCGACTGTGCGCTTTTGCGCAGCTGTTGCCTTTTGCCCGAATGGGGGTGCAGCATGTGCTGCTGTATCCGTGTCAGGCGGTGCACCCTGAACCTGTTGTCCCTGTGGTGTCGAAAATGAATCGGGGGGGTCGCTTGCTGGTGGTGTTTGTGGGCGTTGTGGGGTTTGTTGCGTTATGCGTGCGAGGGATTCCAACTTGTCTAGTGTTTTGCCTGCGAATGAATCGTTGTCATTTGTATTCAGTGCGTCCTTTGTGACGTCTGCGGATGCTTTGATCGCATCCCGAGCGTCTTTTACCGATTGGTCGACATTATCGAGTTTTGTTAGGTTTTGTTCTGCAAATGAGCCTGCGTTTGCTGGGTTGAGCTGCGCGATGACTGCTCCAATTGCTTTTTTCAGCTTTGGAAGTTCGCTTGTGTCCCCTTTTACTGCTGATGCTGTTGCCGCTAAGCTTGTCAAGGCTGCGTTCAGGGGAGCTGTGTTGGTGTCCACGTTTTGCGTTGCTGTCGCTACGTCGGCCACACCTTTTTCGACGTTCGTGATCGCACTTTCGAGTGAGCGCGCCGATGCTGACTGACGCGCCGCCGTTTGAAGTGCCGTTAATCCATCGAGCAGTTTTGAGGCCTCGCTTGGCGTGAGACGTCCGCTTACGCGCGCCGCACGCACCTCGTTCTCATATGCACGGCGAAGTTCTGCTGCGAGCTCGATGGCCGCTCGCTGATCGGCTGTGCGCGTGGCTTCATCCACTGCCTCTGCGGCGGCGGCGGCTTGAATGGCGTCTCGCGTCTCATCCCCTATTTCGGGTTCGTCGTCCATTTCTCGTTCCCGTGACAGGGCACCGTTGAGGATTGCCTCGCGCTCCTTTTGTTCCGCTTCTGTGAGTTGTCGTGCACGTCGTCGGGGGCCGAACATGCGTTTGAATTGCTCGATGGCATCATTGGTGGCCGTCGCGGATGCCTCTCGTTCAGTTTCTGCCGAGAGCTCCGCTGGATCCCACGTCGCGTAGGGATTCGTGGGCGGCTTTCGGGCCGGTGGTGGGCCCTTCATAAATTCCTTCCCGAGGTTGACGTAACGTGGCGCCATTGCAAAGTTTCCTGTATGCGTATATATATGATATCTCTTCACTCATCGAAAAAATGAGCGTTGATGTTGCACCCAAGATGCCCTTCCGGATGCTCGTTGCGGGTTCGTCTGGGAGTGGTAAGACTCTTGCTACTTGTGACATGCTTTTGACGCATTACAGTCCTCACCAAGGCGTTGAGCGTCTTGTGTGGCTTGCGCCAGAATATTCTCTTACACAGCCTGCTGTTGAGGCTATGTCTTCTGCCTACCCCAAGTTTATTGCCATTGATGGGAGTGATGGGTGGACTGATGAGGTTAAGGAAAAGATTATGTCGGCATTGGAGAAAGGGCGCTCGCGTGGTAAAAATAAGGCTTATCCCAATGATACTATTGTTGTGATTGATGACATGGTTTGTGCCACAAAGCGGAGCAACTTCACTGGTATGTTGTTTACCACCGCTCGCCATCTTGGTGTGTCGTTGATTGAATTGGCTCAGCGTATATTTCCCGATGGGAAATCTGCTCGCACTCAGCGTCTCAACACTGATATTTTCATGTTATTTCGTTTCTCTGGTGCTGGTGAGGTATTGCATTTGTTACAACAGATTGAAGATAAAGAACGTGCAAAGGAATTGTATGATGTTTACCGAGGCATTATTAAGCGCGACGTACATGGGTACCTTTTATTTGATACAATGCAGCCGGAGGGGTCACCAAAAAGATTTCGTGACTCGAGCATGTTGCGCGGTATGGTGGTTTAACCCATTGTCGCCTCTGCTTCCATGGTCAGCTGCAAAGGGCGTCGTTCACCATCGTAAAGTCTCCGTGACATGGAGTCATTGCAAATATTTTTTGCGTGCGTTTTTCTTTTTTCCCGGATATACACATTTGATATCTCTTCACTCATCGAAAAAATGAGCGTTGATGGTGCGCCCGAGACCCCTTTCCAGATGCCCTTCCGAATGCTCGTCGCGGGTTCATCTGGGAGCGGCAAGACTCATGCCACTTGTGACATGCTCTTGTCGCATTACAGTCCTCACCAAGGCGTTGAGCGACTTGTGTGGCTTGCGCCAGAATATTCTCTATCTCAACCGCGGGTTCAGGCTTTGTCATCTACCTACCCCAAGTTTATTGCCATTGATGGGAGTGATGGGTGGACTGATGAGGTGAAGGAAAAGATTATGTCGGCATTGGAGAAAGGGCGCTCGCGTGGAAAAAATGATGAATATCCCAACGATACTATTCTTGTGATTGATGACATGGTTTGTTCTTCGGAGCGGGACAACTTCAATGCCAGCATGATGGTTACCGCCATTAGCCATTTTGGTGTGTCGTTGATTAAATTGACTCAGCGTATATTTACTAACGAGTGCTCCGATCGCACGCTGCGTATCAACTGTGATATTTTCATGTTGTTTCGTTTCTCTATGACGATTGAGGTATTGGAGTTGTTACAACAGCTTGAAGACGAAGAACGTGCAAATGAATTGTTTGCTGTTTATCATGGCATCATCAATCGGGACAAACATGGGTACCTTTTAATTGACACATTGCAGTCGTGGAGGTCACCAAAAAGAATTCGTGACTCGAGCATGTTGGGCGGTATGGTGGTTTAACCCATTGCCGCCTCTGCTTCCGTTGCCAGCTGCAAGGCACGCTCTCCGGTTGAGAGGGCGTCGTTCGCCATTGTAAAGTCTCCGTGACTTGCATCTCGCGCTGCCTTTTTGGCGCCCGTTGCCGCCGAATTGAGGAGTTCAAAGGGGGTGCCTACGATGTTGCCTACCTTGTGAACCACGTGTTTGATGCCATGCCAGAGCTTTTTGAAGAAGCCTCCGCCTTGCATATGCTCTGCGAGCTTTGTATGGAGTGGTTCGTCATGTTCTGAACCATCGCGTGCGAGGTCTTCTAGCAGTTGTTTTTCATGTGGTTCGACGTTCTCAGCCTTGTGTAGTTCAGCGTGGTGGGCTAGCTTTGCGCCAACTCGCATGGCGCGTCGGAACGCATGGCCTGCGGCTTTAAATAGTGCCTTTGCCTCCTTCGGTTCGCCGGCGCTCAGGATGTGGAAGTGTGGCGCGTGGCGCTTGAGCTCCAACAGGTCTTCTTGCGTGATCGTCATGGTTGCGTATTATGGGGTGTGACAAAATCTGGCGCGAAAATTACATTGGTATGACCTCCTCCAGACGCTCCAGACGCGGAGCATCTTCGTCTTCTTCGTCTTGTGCGTCTTCCTGATGCTCCAGGCGCTCTTC